CTGGGAGGCCTTGGGGAGAACAGAGTGAGAAGCACGGAGAGGTGCAGAAAAAGGAGAGGGAGGCTGTTTGGGGATATTGGGGGTGCTAACCTGCGGTGTGTTGCTCAGGTTGCCATGGCGACAGGGCAGATTCTGTTCCAGCGATTCTTCTACTGCAAGTCCTTCGTCAAGCACGGCGTGGAGGTGAGTCGCCCCGCCTGCTCGCGTCCGCTCCCAGTCCCCCAGTCCCCCAGTCTCTGCTGGGCAGGGCTGCAGTCTCGGGGTCTCTCTCTGCCTTGCAGTCCGTGGCGATGGCCTGTGTCCACCTGGCCTCCAAGATCGAGGAGGAGCCACGCCGTATCCGGGACGTCCTCAACGTGTTCCACCGCGTGAGCCAGGTCAAGGAGGGCCGGTGAGAAAGACGCTCACTGCCTGGCCGCCGGCCGCACACGCGGACTGGTCAGCAGCCTCTCGTGTCTGTGTCCATCAGCCCCCGCTGCCCGATGCCTCTGGACGCTGCCTACATCAGCCTGAAGAGCCAGGTGATCAAGGTGGAGAGGAGGGTCCTGAAGGAGTTGGGCTTCTGTGTGCACGTCAAGCACCCTCACAAGGTAACAGCACACCTGTCTCACCTGTCTGGGGCGAACAGCCCATCCTTCCCCTGGCTCCTGCGCACACCTCCCCTTTCCTCACCTGCTTGCGCACCTGTGAATTCTGCCTGTGCCCAGGTGAGCCCAGGCCTTTTAATGATGCTCTGTGTTCCAGATCATCGTGATGTACCTGCAGGTGCTGGAGTGTGAGAAAAACTGTACGCTGGTGCAGATGGCCTGGTGAGTCGCTCTGTCCAGCTCTGTCCCCCTGTCGATCCGTCTCTCTCAGTCCTGCAATATTTCTTGAGTGTCTCCCTCCCCCTCCTCCTCCTCAGGAACTACATGAATGACAGTTTGCGGACAGACGTGTTCCTTCGGAGCAGTGCTGAAAGTGTGGCCTGTGCTTGTATCTACCTGTCCGCACGCAAACTCCAGGTCAGAACTGTCCTCTGCCTCTCTGCCTCTCTGCCTCTGTGGGCTCTGGAGTTGATCCTTCTCCTGATCACCTGTTACCATCTCAGATCCCCCTGCCTGCTGAGCCGCCCTGGTTCCTGCTGTTCGGAGCCACAGAGGATGAACTAGAAGACATCTGTTGCCGAATACTGAGACTGTACACCCTGCCCCAGGTCAGTCTGTCACTGAACACTGAGACTGGACACCCGCCCCAGG